ACTGAGCCCAAAGCACTTACAAGAAACCATTCCAGCATGTATTGGTCGAGGTTCTCCAAGACGGTGCAGTCCAGGGTGACCAGCTCCCCCTGCATGACCTCCACCAGAGAGGGCACGGACAGGTGCACCTCTGCCTGCACACCTGTGGGGCAGCGTGCCAGCTCTGTTCATGGCCACTCACCTGGACAGCTCTCTAGACCCCAGCCTCCTCCCTCAGACCCAGGAGTCCAGACCTCAGCCTCTTCCCTCAGTCCCCAAGATCCAGACCTCACCCTCTTGAATCAGACCCAGTGATCCAGGCCGCAGCCTCCTCCCTCAGACTCAGCTCCCTTCTTTCTCCACCTCCCACCTCTGCATCTTCGGGCAGGTAGGGACCATCAGAGAAGCTTCTCATTCCTACACTCGTAAAGCTACAGCTCTCTTGTGCCAGCACTGCTGGTGGCACAAGAACCTGGTGTCTTTCCCTCAATGCTTCAGAATAAACTGTCTACTCCTGCTTTTCCTACAACAACAAAGGCCCCTTAATAAGGGCAGGGCCACACCTGGTTCATCCGTGGCCTCCAGCACCTGTGCAGGTCGGGCTTAGAGACTTGGGTCTCTGCAAGAGGGTCTCTCCCTGGCTTGGTCTCCAGATCGCTGTGAATCTCTGTGCTTCCCTGGATGGGCCCTGAGCTCCTGGAGCTTTTGTGCTCCCTCATGCATGGGGGGCTGGGGTGTGGGCTGCGGCCCGGGCCTGGAGAAGGATGGGTGTGTGGGGGTGGCCAGGGGGGACAGGGCTGGGCAGGTTTCAGGAATGTGGGAGGGCCAGGCTGGCTGAGACCTGCCCGGCTTGGCGCCAGAGCCCCCTACCCGCCCCTTGGCTCTCCAGCCCTTTTAATGGAAGAGCAGAGAAGGTAAGGTGAGTCACCCAGCATGGGATACGGGTGAGGTCAGGATTTTGGGTCCTGGGGGCATGGGTGGCTGAGTCTGGGACTCCCGTGAGGATCCTGGCACGTTGAGCACTCGGTGCTGGGAATGCACCCTCCAGGCTGGCATCTTGGCATAGCTTCCAGTTCTGAGAACCGCCCAGCCAGGCCCGGGCTTACCCCTGGGGACCCACTATTTACCATGCTTGTTTAGGAGCCTGGATTCCTAGGCTTGCGCGGGCTCACCTCTGGCCCCAGCCTGCCCCAGGGGAGTAGATATGGGGCCAGGCTGGTTCCCAGGGCTGGGGAGGAGCTGCAGACAGCCAGGGCTGGCCATCGGATGTCCCCCGGCCAGCCCTTCAGGCCACCACGCAGGTGTGTGGATTTAGCTGAGGCCCCACAGGACAGTGGAGGGGAAAGGGGGTGGCGGTCACTTTGTTCTAAGGACTCACAGCCAGGGCTGGGACTCTGGGCCCTCGCTGAACCAGGAGACTACTTTCAAACTACATGAATGGCTGGTTTGGCCACAGGGTCCCCCCCTCCTGAGCTACCAGAGAAACTGGAAGAGAGGGGGGAACAGCTTTCTCCGGGGTTTGTTTTTCACTCTAGCAAGTGGAGGGTCATGACTCGGGTCCCAACGGCCCAGATTCCAGGAACCCCAGAAAACAAGGGGATTCCTGGGGTCCTGAGCAGGGGAAGGAGTTGATCACTGCGTCCTCGTGTCTCCTCCTCCTCTCCGGGGGTCCCCCAGATTTTGTACCCTGGGACGGTGGTGTTTAGTCCTGTCCTTCCCCGGGGTTCTCCCCAACGCCTCCCTGTTCTCACCCCGAGTCCCTACCTGGGTGCACCGTCAGCAGGAACGCGAGCCACAGCAGCCGCGGGGCCCCGCGCGCCCCGATTCCCGCGTCCGGGGGCTCCATGTTCGCGGCTGCGGCGGCGGCAACTGAGCTTGGGGTGAGGCTCGGCGGCGGCGGGGCCCGGCGGCAGAGGCCACGCCCCCGAACCACGCCCACCAATCACACCCCGCTTCCCGCTGGGCCACGCCCACTCCGCACCGCGACCACGCCCACTCCTCCCTGCTGCCTGGGCGCCGGGCCAGGACCTCCCACTGCCCGGAGCGGACCCCTGCGCGCGCGCGTGCGCCCCAGTTCCGTCCACCCCCTGGGGGTGGGGGTGGGGGGCCCAGGGCTTTGCCCAGCCCGCCTAGCTGGGGTCCTGAGCTTGTCCCCCCCCTCCCTTTTGGACCTGAGGCCTTAGAAGACCCCCCCCCTTACCCTGTGACCAATGGCTGTGGATTTTGTGTGTGCCAGTTTGAACTCAGGGTGTGGATGCTGTCCCTGAGCTTAAGGCTGGTGCTCTACCACTTGAGCCACAGCTTCCACTTTTGGTGGGTCATTGGCGATCAGCGTCTCAGGGACTGCTCTTCAAGCCTTGATGCTGTGATCGCACCTCCTCAGTAGCTAGGATGACAGGTGTGAGCCACCAGCACCTGGCTTAGTGTGGATTTGAACCATCTGACCTCAGGGGAGGTCAGAGGCCTGTGCTGGCCTCTCCTCCTGTGACTGTCCCCCCTCTGACCCCAAGCAGCTTCTTTCTCCCTGGTTGCACCTCACATCCGACCCTCAGTGGCCTGGAACGAAACCAGTTTACTCACTCTCTTATCTCGAATTGTCTTCCATTTTCAGTTCTGCCTATAGAACTCTGGAATGATGGGTGGGGGTGCGGGGTGCCCTCTCCTCTCCCGCGCGCGCTCTCTCTCTCTCTCTCTCTCTCTCTCTCTCTCTCTCCCCCTCTCTCTTTGAAAGGCTCTATCTCTGCCCCCCCCCCAGCTCAGGGAATCCCAGGAATGTCACCCCCTCCTTTTCTCCTTCCTTCTCTCCCCTTCATTCCTTTGGCAGGCCAAGGCAGGTGAGGGGAGGAGGGGGTGGAAGCCAGGGCCCCTGGGAAGGAGAGGGAAAGAGGAGGTGGAGCCAGGCCACGTGTGGTTAGGGTTCACAGGTCAGGCAATGGGTTGGTGGGGGTGTCACAGATCAGGAAGCTCAAGGCTTTGCACAAACCAGGTCAGAGTGTGGGGGGGGTGGGTGGGAGGGGTGGTACTTGGTGGTAGTCAGTGGTGGGGGTCACTGGTCACGCCTCTGATCAGCTGGAAGGGAGCTTCCCATAGTATCAGAGAGGGCTTGGATTACAGGTAGCCTGACTTGCCAAAGCGACTTTGTTCTCCTTGGTGGGACAGGACAGCAATTGGGTATTAGCAATATTTATTCCCTCCTTCAAAATGGGCTCGCTCCTTCAAGTTCTCTTTGCCCCAGCCCCGGCCCCCATCCTGCATGCTCTGGGTGGTCCCCATTGGTATGGCCCTGTCTTAGCCCTTCTAAGAGGCTTGGCTGTCTTTTATTTTTTTTTTGGTTGGTCGTGGGGCTTGAACTCTGGGCCTGGGCGCTGTCCCTCAGCTCTTCAGCTCAAGGCGAGTGCTCTACCACTTGAGCTACAGCGCCACTTCCGGTTTTCTGGTGGTTTATTGGAGATAGGAGTCTCACGGTCTCTCCTGCCTGGGCTAGCTTTGAACCTCGATCCTCAGATCTCAGCCTCCTGAGTAGCTAGGATTACAGGCGTGAGCCACCAGCGCCTGGCTTGGCTGTCTTCTATTGTTTCTTTTTTGGTGCCTATGCTGGGACTTGAACTCAGGACCTGGGCTCTTCTCTCTGATCTTTTGTGCTCAAGGCTGGTGCTCTACTGCTTAAGCCACAGACAGAGCCACTTCTAGCTTTTTGATAGTTCATGGGAAAGCAGAGTCTCACAGACTTTCCTGCCTGGGTTGGCTTTGAACCATGATCCTCACATCTCAGCTTCCTGAGTAGCTGGGACTACAGGCGGGAGCTACGGTTTTATGTTATCTTCCTGTTTTTTTTTCCTTTGCAGTGCCCCTGGCTGGCTTTGCTTGGCATAAGACAAGTAAATATTTGTGAACTGAATTGTGTTCTAATTCTGGCCGGGCTGTCTCCCAGGTTAGAGCTGATCACACAGTCACCTGTCACTTCACAAGGGGTCATGTGATGTGGGGCTAGCTTGTCATTGTGTGAACGCCACGGGGCGAACGCTACACACTCCAACCACAACAGCTAGTCACTAGGCCATGGGACCTTACGTGGCCACCTCCTTGGCCAGCAGTCATGGTGAGGAACGCCTTGCTACCCTTCCGTGAAAGGCTGTAGTATTTGCCCAGACGTTTTCAGCATCCTACCATCTTGCATTTATGTGTATGTGCTCTGGCCTGAACTCAAGGCTTCGTGCTTTTGCTCAGTGGGTGCCTCCACCGCTTGAACCATGCCTCCAGTCCTGCCTTTTGCTGGTGAATCAGAGTTATGAGTCTCAAGCACTTCCCTCCCCGGGGCTTGCTTGGCTTTGAACCCCAGTCCCTCAGATCTCAGCTTCCTGAATAGGTAGGATGGCAGGAGTGAGTTATGGGTGTCTGGCTCTGATGCTCCCTCTATAAGCTAAAAAGGACGGATGTTTGCTTTCTTCTGTGGGAGGCAAGGTGATGTCAGCTTTGGTAGCAGAGCCAGACTTGTGACAAATGCAGGAGCGAATCCCGCAGGAGGAGCTGGGCGTGGCTCCTCTCCTCCAGCCCTGGCCACTGGGCACCTCCTGTCTTCAGGAGGAGCCTGCCACCCCCTTCCTGGTGCTTATGTGAATCACAGCCTGACTTTCTCTCCACTTTCTGCACCAAAGCCGGGTGCAGTGGCTCACGCCTGTAATCCTAGCTACATGGGAGGCAGAAATGGGGGGTTTTGAAGTTTGAGACCAGCCCATGCTGAAAAGTGAGCACGACACCCACCTCAACCACCAAGCTGGATTTCGTTCGTACTTCATGCTTGCCATCCTAGCCATACAAGAGGCAGAGGCCAGGAGGACCTCACTCTGAGGCTGCCCCAGGGGCAAAAATGTGAGACCCTACTTGAAAAATGACTGGAACGTGGCTCAAATGGTGGAGCACCTGCTTAAGCAAGAGTATGAGGCTGAGTTCAAACCTTAGTGCTCCAAGAGACACAGAGAGAAAGACACACACACACACACACACACACACACACACACACACACACACACACACAGATAAGGGGGTCAGCTAGGCGCTGTGGCACACACCTGTAATCCCAGCTACGTGGGAGGCAGAGGAAGGAGGATTACAGTCCAAGGCCAGTCGGAGGCCAAAGCCTGAGACCCTATCTGAGAAAAGAAACTGAAAGCCAAAGGGTTGGGGGTGTGTGGCTCAGCCAGGAATCCTGGTGTACACCTGCAGTCCTGGTCCGCAGGAGGCTGAGGCAGGAGGATTGTAAGTTGAGGCCAGCCCGCGCTCCAGGGCCACCACAGAGCTCTGTGCCACCCTGGGGACCGGGTACTGTGGCTTTAGGAGCCAAGGTAGTGGGTGGCAGCCACACGGGGGACCCCTGGGACCGTTGTCTGGTCCAGCTCCCCCGCCTGCCCCGGGGACCCCTGCATGGCACAAGGTGACTGGCTGATGGTCATTGCTGGCCCCTCCTCCCCTGCCCCCAGGCCTCGCTGGGCCGGTTCCATGGGGCAGCGGTGGTTGGTGACCTGGTTGGCGAGTGGCCAGTCTCCTGGCTGGCTTTTCCAATCCCAGCTCTCTGACTGACTCCTGGCATTGTTGACTGACCCCAAATCCTTCCAACAAAGTCCCTCTGTGTCCCCGAGGCGGCAGCGTGCGGCGTTGCCTGGAACGGAAAGCCACGCTCTGGGGGCCACCGCCCATCCCCTCACCTGTGCGGCTTGGCCTGGATGCCGCCTCCTCCCAGAAGCCCTCTGGGACTTCCCAGGGTGGGTCTACCTTCTGCTCCCCATGGGCTCCTGAGGCCCCCTCAGTCCCCCACGTGGGGTCACTCCTGACGTGCAGGAAAGGGGGCAGTGACCACCATGCTGTCCCCAGGGCTGGGCACCCAGCAGGACCTCAGGGGTTGGCCCATTTAATCCCTTGGTGACAAGGGCACCAGTGGCTCATGCCTGTCATCCTAGCTACTCAGGAGGCTGAGATCTGAGGATCGCGGTTCAAAGCCAGCCTGGGCAGGAAAGTCCCGGAAACTCTCATCTCCAATAAACCACCAGAAAACCGGAAGTGGTGCTGTGGCTAAAGTGGTAGAGTGTTCACCTTAAGCTGAAGAGCTGAGGGACAGCGCCCAGGCCCAGAGTTCAAGCCCCGCGACTGACCAAAAACAAAAAAAAGGGGAGGGGGGCACTTCCTCAGTCTGGTGGAGGCTGTGGTTGTGGGGAGAAGAAAGGAGGGGAGGGAGGGTGAGGCCAGGGCAGAGGGAGGCTGGGGGTGTTATATGAGGGGCTGAGGGTGGAGGGAACCCCATCTCTCCCCACAGCAAAACTGCCCCCTGGTGGTTGCTGGCATTTATTTCAGTTTCACCAACCTGGCCTGGCTCTCCCCCCCCCCATTCCCCCCCACACAGGCCCCTAGCCCCCAATCTGGGGTCCACTGTGTGTGTGTCTGGCTGGCTGGCTGCCCTGTGGGGACAGAAGACAGCTGGTTAGAATGTGTGATGCCCAGGGCAGCATCCTCTCCACCCACCCAGGGAAGCTGGAGAGACGGGGCGTGGCCTCACCTGGTCTCCAGGCCCTGGCAGGATGGCGGGCTTGCCTCCCCCTCCAGGGCCAGCTGGAGGGGTGACTCTTCCCCTCAGGAGCTTCTGCAAGGAGAATTGGGGGGGGGCTGTGGATCTCCTGGGACTCAGTGTCCCCGCCCCCCCCCCTTGATTTTCCCTGGAGGCCCAGACCAGTCTGAAGCCCTATGCACTTACTCTGCGGCCTCCTCCGTGGCCTGGGGGCGGGGGGTGGCGTCCCACGGGGCTGAGGCCATGGTTTTTATTCTAGGCAAGGGAAGAGGAGCCCGGAGTTTGGGTAGGACCAGAGGGGCCTGGAAGGGAGAAGATAAAGAAATGTCTCAGGTACGCTGGGCGTGGTAGCTCATGCCTGTAATCCCCGCCACTGAGGAGGCAGAGATTGGGAGGATCGCAATTGGGAGGCCAGCCTGGAAACAAAAGTTTCCATCACAACAAACGGGTCAAGTCTGGTAGGCTCCAACTGAGATCTCCGTTGCACAGAAAGTGCAGATGGGATTGAGTTCCAGGCTGAGCCCGGGGCAAAGAGATGAGATCATATTCAAAAAGTACTGACAGCAGGCAGGCACCCAGTGACTCACGCCTGCAATCCTAGCTACTGAGGAAGGCCGGGGCCAGGAAGGTGGCTCAGTGGTAGAGTGCTTGCCTAGCATGCAAGAAGCCCTGGATTCGATTCCTCAGTACCACATACACAGAAAAAGCTGGAAGTGGCACTGTGGCTCAAGTGGTAGAGTGCTAGCCTTGAGCAAAAGAAGCTCAGAGGAGGAGAAAAAGAAGAAGAAGAAGAGCCGGGCACCGGTAGCTCATGCCTGTAATCCTAGCTACTCAGGAGGCTGAGTTCTGAGGATCTTGGTTCAAAGCCAGCCTGGGCAAGAAAGTCTGTGAGACTCTTGTCTCCAGTAAACTTAGAAAACTGGAAGTAGCACTGTGGCTCAAGTGGTAGGGCGCTCGCCCTGAGCTGAAGAGCGCAGGCCCAGAGTTCAAGCCCACAACCGACAAAAGAAGGAGAAGAAGAAAGGGAGGAGGAGGAGGAAGAGGAGGAAGAGGAGGAATAAAAAGAAGGAACAGGAGGAAGATAAATAACAACAACAACAATAATAATACATGTCCCAGAGAGCTGCCGGTTGGGAACTGGGTGCTTAAGGCAGAGTCCTGTCCCCTGTCAGTGCTGTTCCCCCCCCCCCACACACACTCTCTGCCTGGAGCACGAAGCTGTTCTGACTGAATCTCTGTCTGTCCACCGCCATCCGTCTGTCCATCCATTCCTTCACTCCCACCCAAACTCTGGCAACCTAGCTTGACCAAGACAGAAGAAAATTTCCATCCTGCCGAGCTGATGGGCACCGCTCGCGCGACAGCTTGGCTCTGAGCCATCAGCTCAGAAACAAGGAAGTGCCTCTAATGTTCACAGTCCCTTCTGACTGATGGGGAAAGTCAGGGTAACCAGGACACGGGGCGGGGAGGGGGGGCGGCTCTGGGAGACGGACTGGGCACAGAGGGAGTGCAGAGGCTTTGGACAGAAGGCTTGAGATGACCTCTGTGATCGACAGTGAGCAAGCCGGGCATGGTGGTGCACGCCTGTAATCCCAGACCTCCAGAGGCAGAGATAGGAGGATCTCTATCCCAGGCTACCCCCACATTAAAAAAAAAAAAAAAAAGACAAGTGTCTGGTGGCTCACACACCTGTAATTCCAGCTACTCAGGAGGTTGAGAGATTGAGGATCATACTTCAAAGCCATCTGGGGCAGGAAAGTCCATGAGACTTTTTTGGGTCGGCTGTAAGGCTTGAACTCAGGGCCTGAGCACTATCCCTGAGTTTCTTTTGCCCAAGGCGAGTGCTCTACCACTTGAGCCACAGCACCACTTCTGGTTTTCTGGTGGTTTATTGGAGATAAGAATCGCACAGACTTTCCTGCCCAGGCTGACTTCAAACCACGATCCTCACATCTCAGCCTCCTGAGTAGCTAGGATGACAAGTGTGAGCTACCTGCGCCTGAGCCTCCGGGAGATTCTTATCTCCAGTTCACCAGGCCCAAACCAGACATGGAGGTGTGGCTCAAATGGTAGAGCACTGGTCTTGAGGAGAAAAACTAAGGGACCACACCTAGACCCTGAATTCAAGTCCCAGTACTGTTTCCCCCACCCTCAAAACAAAAGGTGGGAAGGAGACACCCTGGGAAAAGGGGCCTGGGCGTGGCTCAATGGTCGCCCTGCAGGACTCTCACTCACCAGGCTGGCAGCGCCATGCCCAGGGCAGGCTCTGAAGAATGACTTAGGCATGGACAGGAGTTGGGGTCACCCCGGGTTTGGAGATCTGGCAGGGCATGCTGGGCGGGCGGGGGGGCGGGGGGCACAAGCCGGGTGCAGGTGTGCGCAGAGGCCGGGTGCTGGGCAGCCTGGCAGGCTCCTGGCCGCGGGCCTGGTCCTCAGGGAGTGGCTGAGTGTCTCTAATGTTTCCATTTGCCTCTGGCCGCGATCCGGGGCTGTTTTTAGCTCAGAGTCAGTTCACCCCCCCTCCCGCTTCTCCCCCCCCCCCTTCCTGCTGGCTCCCTTGTTCCCACTGGTGGAGCTGCGTTCCCGGACTTCCTGAGCTGTTTGCCTCACGTCCTGGCTTTATTGATTTTTGTGCCCAGCTAGGGAGGGAGGGAGGGCTGATCCCCCTCCTCCCCAAGCGGGCAGGCCAGGAAATAAGGGGAGCCTGGGGTGCACAAGGCCATGGTTCCATCCCCACCTCTGCAAAGCAGTAGTAAGAGGAGGGGAAAAAAAAAACCCACAAAACAAAAACAAAAAGCTGGGCGTTGCTGGGCGCAGGTGGCGCACGCCTGTCATCCTAGCTACTCAGGAGGCTGAGATCTGAGGATCGCGCTGCAAAGCCAGCCCAGGCAGGAAAGGCTCTGAGACTCTTGTCTCCAATAAACCATCAGAAAACTGGAAGTGGAGCTGTGACTCAAAGGGGTAGAGTGTCCCCCTTGAGCAAAAGAGCTCAAGGACAGCGCCCAGGCCCTGAGTTCAAGTTCCAGGACCGGCACACATACACAAGAAAAGGAGGGTTGGGAAGGCGTGGCTCCGCTTGTAGAACGCCTATCTATCAGGTTCAAACCCCATATTCTGAAATGCCCTAAGGCTCCCTTATCTTCTTTCAGGCTGTGTGTCTCTGGCTGGTACAGGCCCCTCTCTGAGCTTCTCTCTTCCTGGGAAATGGGACTTTTTTGCCTTTATGGATGTTGGCAAGACTCAGGTCTGTGCATGCACATGTGTATGTATGTGTGTGTGTGTGTGTGTGTGTGTGTGTGTGTGTGTGTGTGTGTGTGTATGTGTGTGTGTCTGCGTGTGCATTGTTCCTGGGGCTTGAACTCAGGGCCTGGGCACTGTGCCTGAGCTTTATTTGCTCAAGGCTGGTGCTCTACCCACTTGAGCCACAGCTCCATTTCCATATTTTTGGTGGTTCATTGGAGACAAGAGTCTCACAGACTTTCTTGCCCAGGCTGGTTTTGAACTATGATCCTCAGATCTCAGCCTCCTGAGTGGCTAGGATGACAGGCGTGAGCCACCCACCAGGGCCTGGCTGTCCAGTCTGCTTTTTAGCCACTAAAAAAATAAGAACCACCCATAAACCAGACCCACATAGGGGCTGGGCCACCTGTGTGCTTGGCTGCCTGGCATGGTAGTGTATGCCTGTAATCCCAGCGCTCAGGAGCCAGGCTAGAGCAAGAACCCTGGGACCAACTGAGGCCCCAGCCACCCCACATCAGCCCTGCAGGTCACTCACCACCTCCAGCCAGCTCCTGGGCCTCCTGGGGGGCAGCGGGGGAGGAGACACCTGTGGGAGGCAGGAGGGAGGAGCTGAGATCAGCCCTGTTCTAACTACTTCCTGTAGTTAGAGGCTGAATCTGAGGCTGTTCTAGAATCTGGTATGGGGGGGCGGGAGATTCAGGTAGGAAAGGCTCCAGAACCAGAGTCCTACGTAGCAAACCTCCTGGCCTCTATCATCCAGCCTCCTCCCTCAGACCCAAGGGTCCAGGCCCCCAGCCTCCTCCCTCAGACTCAAGAATTCTTCTTAGGGTGCCTCCCTGGCTCTCACCTGTCCCAGCTCCTCCTCTTCCTCACCAAGGCCATCTGGGGCACTGGTCCGCGCATGCGCCCCGCCCTGGGCCTGGCAGATGCTGACAGCCTCTCGGCCTCTGATGTCCCCGCGGCAGAAGGGGCAGGTGTGGCTGTCTGTGTGCTGGGGGAGGTGGATGGGGGGGGGCACCGTCACTCAATCCCCAGGGCTGGGGAACACCTCCCCCCACCATGGTGGGGATAGAGGGACTCACAGGCGGGGAGGGAGACGCTGGTGGGGGTCTGGGAATGGAGCCCTGGGGCCAGGAGGGGACACAGGGACCCCCAGAGCCAGGCCTTTGTGTGTGTAGGGGGGGACTTGCAGGCTTAGACCCTCACGACAGCCTTTTGGGGGTGCCACAATCATCTCCAGCAGAGTCTTGCTCCCTAGAAGGGGGCAAGGCCCAGAGACTGAATGCAGCTGTCCCTAGCTGGCCCAGCAAGGGAGGAAAGAGCGCTCTGTCCTAATTATACAGCTGGGAAAGGAAAAGTGGAGGTTCTCAGAGTGGGGTGAGCCGGGGACACAGACAGGCAGGCCCCTGAGTGTCCTGAGGAGGCGTCTGCTCTCTCCGGGTCTCAGTTTCCCCATCGGGGCGGGGAGGGGCTGACCCCACCTCCCAGGTGGTCAGGCAGCGGCTGCAGAGCAGATGGCCGCACGGCTCCAGCCTCACGTCCTTGTCTCTCTCCGCACAGATCTTACAAAGCTCGAACGTGGAGTCCATGGCCAGGTATAGCCGCAGCTGCTCCTAGCAGGGGAGGGGAGAGGGGGGCAGGGATGGGATGAAGCCTCTGGGCCAGTCCCAAGTCATCCCCCAAACCAAGCCCCCCCTTACCCCCTCCCCAAGTCCCAAGTTCAAGCCTTGCTTCGTAGGTTTCCTGTTGGCCTGAGATTCCTTCTCTGAGCTCCTCAGCATGAGATTCAGCCAAGAGGAGAACACACAGGTGTCCTGTTCCTAGGATTCCCCATGTACAGCCAAGAGACTCTAAGCATGAGCCTATCCCAAATACAGAATGGGACATACTGATGCTAAGAACAAGAGGGCTGGGAAGCCGGGCACCAGTGGCTCACACCTGTCATCCTAGCTATTCAGGAGGCTGAGATCTGAGGATTGAGGTTCAAAGCCAGCTCGGGCAGGAAAGTCTGTGAAACTCTTATCTCCAATAAACCACCAAAAACTCAGAAGTGGCGCTGTGGCTCAAGTGGTAGAGCGCTAGCCTTGCATGCATGAGGCCCTGGGTACGATTCCTCAGCACCACATAAGCAGAAAAAGCTGGAAGTGGCGCTGTGGCTCAAGTGGTAGAGCGCTCGCCTTGAGCTGAAGAGCTGAGGGACAGCGCCCAGGCCCAGAATTCAAGCCCCAGGACTGGCCCCCCCCCCAAAAAAAAAGTAATGTTGGGTGGCGCATGCCTGTAATTCCAGCATTCAAGAAGCTAAGGGCAGGGGGATGGTAATTCCAGGCCAGCCTCAGGGGGAAAAAAATTGTAGCACAGAGAGAGGAATTTTTTTTTCTTTTTTGGGCCGGTCGTGGGGCTTGAATTCAGGGCCTGGACGCTGTCCCTCAGCTCTTCAGCTCAAGGCGAGCACTCTACCAGTTGAGCTACAGCGCCACTTGCATTTTTCTGGTGGTTTATTGGAGATAAGAGTCTCACGAACTTTCCTGTCCAGGCTGGCTTTGAACCATGATCCTCAGATCTCAGCCTCCTGAGTAGCTAGGATGACAGGCAGGAGCCACCAGCGCTGGGCTCTGGCTTCTTTTCTAATTGGAGGTAAGAGTCTCATAGACTTTTCTGCCTGGGCTGGCTTGGAACTTTGACCCTCAGATCTCAGCTAAGATTGCTGGTGTAAGCCACCAGTGCCTGGCCTTTTTTTTTTTTTTTGTAGTGGAGATTGAACTCAGGGCCCTGCCCTTGCTGGGAAGAAGCACTGTCACCAGAGCCACGCCTCCAGCCTTTAGCTTTTTGTGGCTTTTCTTTTGTTTTTTTTGGGGTCCAGTCGTGCGGCCTGAACTCTAGCCTGGGCGCTGTCCCTCAGCTCTTCAACTCAAGGCTAGCACTCTACCACTTGAGCCACAGCGCCACTTCCGGCTTTTTTCTTTTTGCTTATGTGGTGCTGAGGAATCGAACCCAGGGCCTCATGCATGCAAGGCAAGCATTCTAACCATAAGCCACCTTCCCAGCCCTTAGTGGCTTTTCAAATAGAGTCTCAGATCCATTTTTCCTGGGCTGATCTCTGACTTTGGGGTCTTCCTATGTCCTCCTCCCACTGCGTAGCTGGGATTACAGGCATCCATCACCACACTGGGCCTCTCTACTTGCAGCTTGTTTCCTGAGAACTCCCAGGAAGCAATGGGGGGCGGTGGGAAGTTTCCAGTGGGTGATCTGAGTCTCAAGAGTGGCCAAACCTGGGGGGCCAGAACCCCAGCCTTGGAAACGAGGTGTTAGACAGAGGCTATGGTCAGGGGCTCACCTCCGACACGTGGATGCGCTCGTGGGGTTCTACGCGGCACAGCTCCGTCAGGTCTGGGTTGTGATTCTTCCCATCAGGGTACAGGTAGCTGGAGAGGGAGAGAGCCGATCACAAAGGTTGCGCCCAGCACCTCCCACTTCCAGACTAGCAAGGACCAACCGGCCCCGCCCCCCCTCCATGAGAATCACTGGAAATCCCCAACCTGCAGAGCTGTGGCTCCAGTGTTGGAGTGCCAGCCTTGAATGACAAACCTAAGGGAGAGCACAAGGCCCTGAGGCCAAGCCCAGGACCAGCATTAAGAAAAAAAAAGGGGGTGGGGGACTGGGAAGGTGCTCAGTGGTAGAGCACTTGCCTTGCATGCATGAGGCCCTGGGTTCCATTCCTCAGCACCACATAAGCAGGAAAAAGCCGCTGGAAGTGGCGCTGTGGCTCAAATGGTAGAACACTAGCCTTGAGCTGAAGAGCTGAGGCTACAGCACCCAGGCCCAGAGTTCAGGCCCCACGACCGGACCCAAAAAAAAAAAAAAGAAAAGAAAAAGAGTGGGTACTCTTAAAAAGCTTTGTCTTAGTTTTATTTCTTTCACTCATTTTTTGTTTTTGTGGTACTGAGGAATTGAACCCAGGGCATCATACATGCTAGGCAAGCACTCTACCACTGAGCCACCTTCCCAGCCCCAGATCTCAGTCTCTTGAGTAGCTAAGATTACAAGCGTGAGCCACTGGTGCCTGGCAAAATTCAATATATATTCTACATTCAATGCAAGGGAAGGAATGTTGAAAGGGATGACGTTGTTCAAGATGCATTGTACACTGGGTGCCACTGGCTCACACCAGTAATTCTAGCTACTCATGAGGCTGAGAACTGAGGATCAGGGTTCAAAGCCAGCCTGGGCAGGAAAGTCTGTGAAACTCTTATCTCCAATTAATCACTCAGAAAACCCAAAGTGGTTCTGTGGTTCAAGTGGTAGAGCGCTCGCCTTGAGCTGAAAAGCTGAGGACAGCACCCAGGCCCAGAGTTCAAGCACCAGGACCAACAACAACAACAACAAAAAAACAAACCCAAAAAACAAAAACAGAGGCACTGTACTCAAAAATTGCCTTGTCGAATGGCAACTCCTTTGTACAACTACTAAAGATAACTAAAAGTTGTGACGAAAGGAACAATAGCTCAGGATCTAATACCTTCCCTCCATGTGGTTTCAGAGAACACAGCTTCGATGAGCACTGATAATCCAGTTTATCTGTCCACCTGTCCACCTGACCTCACACCGCCCCTTGTGGATGGAGCTCGGTGACACTCCAGATGCTTGACTGCCACCTGCTGTCTGGCGGCGGTACTACAGCCAGGGGGGCCAACCTGGGCCCCTGTTGATTTGGACAGAACCTTTCCATGTGGATTTTGCCACCACCTTCTACCTGCCGGGATGGGGACTCACAGGCCGTCCTTCTGTCCCTCCAGGAGCACCTGGAACAGGGGTTTGTTGGAGGGGATGATCTGCAGAATGCTGCCACCCGAGCTCACGTAGCCGATGGCCCACTGTCCCAGGCGGGTGCAGCTAGGCCTGAAGATGTAGCTGGAGGGGCCAGAGAGGGGTGAAGGGATGTCGAGTGGTCTCCACCGTCCTTACTGGGAAATGCCAGCTCCCTCCAGCCGCCCACCCCCCCTTCCTCTACACCCCCCAGCCACCCCCTCCCCACGCACCTACCTGCCTGGCTTGTCCCTGCAGGACTGCAAGCGGGCCTGGACCTCGTCGTACGTGAGGAAGGCCATGTAGCCCGGATGGTTGACGGCCAGGAGTTGCCAGTTCTTCAGCAGCGTGGGCCAGGGCTGCGAGGGGCGTGGCCGGGTCACAGGGGGCGGGGCAGGGAGGTAGCCACGCCCCTCGCATAGCTGGGGCTAACCTCCAGCCCTAGCCTACACCCATGGGGGGTTGGCTGGGCACAGTAATCCTTCCAAGGGACAGACCCACGACCCTGCTTTCCCCGGACCCAACGGTCCAGGCCCAGCCTCTGCCCCCAGATCCAGAGATCCAGACCCCAGTCCTCCTCTCTCAGACCCAAGAGTCCCGGCCTCAGCCTCCTTCCTCAGACCCCCCAGGCCCCATGACCCTGACCTGGAAGAGCCTGGTGAAGATGTCGAACTCAAAGATGGACACGTGGCCGCTGCACGTGAGGTCCATGGTAGAGCGCAAGGCCTGGGCGGTGGGCCCGGCCTCCACAGGGTGGCAGGTGTCCAGTAGCGACTGGAACTCAGCCCAGGGCACCACGCACCTGGGCGGGGAAGGGAAGGGGGCTGAGGATTGGTGGCCTGTAGGAAGAGGCCTTCTGTTTCAGAAGTCCCTGGACAGGGGGTGATCACTCACCGGGCTCCACAGCAGCTCCTCCAGAAGGTGTGTGCGGGGGCCTTGGTCAGCTGGTACAGGTGGCCGCGGTATTTTCCCCCAGGGAAGAGTGTGCCCAGCTCTGCATGCATGTGGCTGAAGATGAGGGCCAGCTTGGCCAGCTGCCGCCTGAAGAGATGAGTTCTGAGGACCCAGCTGGCCCTGGAGCTCCCAGTCACATCTCTGTCTAGGAATCCCCACAAGGTTAAACCCCCAGACTCTTATATAATATATGAGTGCATTGTAAGAGTTCATTCCTAAAACCAGGTGCGGTGATACATGCCTGTAATCCCAGCACTCAGGAGGTTGAGACAGGAGAATCTAGAGTTCCAGGCTAGCCTGAACTACACAGCAAGACCTTGTCTCAAAAACAAGCCAGGCACCAGTGGCTCATGTCTGTCATCTTAGCTACTCAGGAGGCTGAGATCTTAGGATCTTGGATCAAAGCCAGCCTGGGCAAGAAAGTCTGTGAGACTCTTATCTCCAATAAACCACTAGAAAACTGGAAGTGGCACTATGGCTCAAGTGGTAGAGCGCTCACCTTGAGCTGAAGAGCTGAGAGACAGCACCCAGGCCCACAGTACAAGCCCCACAACTGAACAACAAAAAGTGACGGGCAGGCTGGGTGCTGGTGGCTCATGCCTGTAATCCTAGCTACTCAGGAGCTGAGATCCGAGGATTGCAGTTCAAAGCCAGCTGGGGCAGGAAAGGCCTTGGTACTTTCTTCTCCAATAAACCACCAGCAGGGACTGGGAAGGTGGCTCAGTGGTAGAGTGCTTGCCTTGCATGCATGAGGTCCTGGGGTCGATCCCTGAGCACCACATAAGCAGAAATAGCCAGAAGTGGCACAGTGGCTCAAGTGGTAGAGCGCTCACCTTGAGCTGAAGAGCTGAGGGACAGCGCCCAGGCCCAGAGTTCAGGCCCCACAACCAAAACAAAACAAAACAAAAAAATGATATGCAGGCCGGTCACCTGGGCTCAGGTGTTCTAAGCAGCCACTGTTTAGAAAGGGGCGGGGCTCCTGCAGACTGGGGTGCAGACCTGCTTCCGGACTCTAGGTGCCCTTCCCTCCCCCACATTTCAGACTGGCAGAGTCCAAAGTCCTCGGTCGGCCCTGCTGGTCCCTGACACCTGAGTTCAAGGGGAGCCCAGGGCTGGGCTGCCTTTCCATCCGGAAGCCTGTGCCCCCCACATTCACAGCATCTAAGGGACAGTGGGCATCTGGATCCCCAATGTGAAGAGACCCAGAAATAAGAGCAATGAGACACTGAGGGTTTCAAGGACGGAAAAATCTAGCTAGCTCAGTTTTCCTAGGTCCTAGGGAGGAGGCTGGGCTGTGGAGGATCCCAGGGAGGAGGCTGGGCTGTGGGGTCCCAGGGACGAGGCCGTGGGGGCCCGGGGTGGAGGCCGTGAGGTCCCGGGGCGGAGGCCGCGTGGCGCCCGCGCTCACCTGGGCCGCGCGCCCTCCCGGAAGAGCCGGTCTTCGGCCCCGGCCCGCGCGGACAGCAGCGCCGCCACCTGCCGGCCCTTGGCCTCCAGGTTGGCCAGGTAGACGGCCAGGAAGTGCCCGGCGCCCCCGGGGCCTTCGGGATCGCCTCCCGCCGCGCCCCGCCGGGCCCCGGCCACCTCGCGGAGGAGCTGCGCGATGCGGGGCAGCAGGTCCCGCAGCGAGGGGGGCCCCGAGCCCAGCCGGGGGTCCCCGCATCGCTCTTCCAGACGCTGCAGCAGCCGCACGGCTCGGCCGAGCGCGCGGGGCTCCCCGCGATGCCACCCCTGCGGCACCGCGGCCATGGCCCTCAGGTGTCGGGGACCCAGGACGACAGGGAAGGGCGCGGGCACCGTGGGGGCGTGGCCGCGCAGGGCGAGGCCTCCAGATGGGCGTGTCCGAGCAGGGGCGGGCCGGCGGGCGAGGGCGTGGCCATACGAAAGGGCGTGGCCTCTATTGAGGGGAGGAGCCTCCCACGGGTGGGCGTGGCATCACCTATGGACGTGGTAGTGCCGGGCGGGGCCACATGAGTGGGCGTGGCCTCCAGCGGGGGGGGGGGGAGTCGGTAGTAGACGTGACATTCTCTATTGGTGGGGACTCTGGGGCGGAGCCTGCTGTAGGAGGCGGGACTTGTGGCCAGAGGGCGGGGCTTGGAGCTGGGGACGCGGGGCTCCTCGGCAGGTGGAGCGGGGTCTCTGGTTTCCAACGGGGGGGGGGCAGGAAGGGAGGTTTCCTGGGGGCTTCAAGGCGCCCCCGGGCTGGGTGGTTTTGGACTCCGCACACCTGGAGGGCGGAGGTCTTTGCTCCTGACCTTCTCAGTGGTTACTGGGGAGCGGGCACTAGCCCTTTGCTCCCGCGAAAGGGGCTCAGGGCACAGAATGGCCCGCTGCACCCCCATGGCGGGGGACCAGCGGGAAATTAAGCTCGAGGTTTTTGTTTCTGTGTGTGTTTTTTTTAAGAGTTTGAACTCAGGGTCTTGACCAGCTAGGCAGGTGCCCTGCCACTTGTCCACTGCCCTAGCCTTAGAGAACCCCCCAAAACCCCCACAACTTTCCCCAAGTCTCCAGTTTTTGTCGCTGGCGGGCTTCAGACCCCGATCCTGCGCCTCGTAACCGAGGCTCCGCCGGCATAGCTGGGATTACAGGTGTGCGGAGCCCTGCCCGGGACAGGCTGGAGTCCGGATACGTAGATTTCCTAGGCAGCAGACCCCTGGGCTCCACAGGGGTGAAGTGGGAAACTTGGAGGGAGGAGGCGAGGAGGCTGGGCTGGGCAGGGCGAGGCTTTCACCCCAACTGGCCCAACCGGTAAAAGCCACCTAGACCCAGGCTGCGCACAGGGCCGTGGGCCTCGTGAAGCCCCGCCCCTCCGGGGCCCCGCCCCCTCCTGGCCCCGCCCCCTCCGGGGCCCCGCCCCTGTCAGCCCCACCCCCTTCTAGCCTCGCCCCAGGAGACCTTCTAGGCGCACATATATGCGCATACCTGGAGAGTTGCAAATCAGACAATAATAGTTTATTCACTCATTTGTACCTGGAACAGCACCGGGACTCAATCACAAATGTGAGCTCGTGCCAGTAAGAGCTGTTATGTTAGGTCCTGTGTGTCAGATTCTATGCGCATTTGTTCACTGGTTTTGTTTTTATTCTTATTCTTTATTTTTGCGTCGATACTGAGGCTTGAACTCAGGAGCTAGGCGCTGTCCTTTAACTGTTTTTGTTTTTGCTTCCTCCTTAATGCTAGCCACCTACCATTCAAGCTACACCTCCACTGCCCACTACTTATTTTGGGGATAAATTGGAATAAGAGTTTCACAGCCTTTTCAGCCTGGGCTGGTTTCGAACCATAATCCTCAGATCTCAGTTTTCTAAACTAGGTTTGTAGGAGTTAGCCATCAGTGCCGTGCCAGTATAAACTTTTTTTTTTTTTTTTTCATTTGAGACATGATCTGGTAGGTATCACAGGCTGGCCTTGAATTTTCAATTTTCCTGAGTCACTGTCTCAAATGCTGGTTTTACAGGTGTGGGCTACCATGCCCATTCCCCAGATAGAGACACTTGAAACAAACATTTTACATCCTAGCCATTATCTTGGCTACAAGTATGCACATTAATATCTTTTGCCCAGTTTCAGGTTTCATTAATGAAAGAATCGTGTGTGCAACCCATGAAATGGACCTCAAACCCCACTAATGGGTCACGTTTGGAAGTTCATAAAATTCTGCTCTAAAGAGACATAACGGGGATATTCATTTCAGTCTTGTTGGATGGAAATGGAGAGAAGGAAGGAAATAGGTTTGCCCACTGGAAGATGGAATGAATGAATTGTGGTCTTCCCACAGGGCCTCAAGTCAGCAGTGGAGATGAATAGTAGAAGCATGAGTCATAAAGTATGAGGATGAGTGGAATGGGCCTCGCCTCCTACTTCCACAACCATATTTGCAAACAGGGTCTTTGAGGATGTGATTCATTAGGCTTGATATCTAAGGGTGTCCTTACAGAAAATGAACATTTGGGTTGGGCATGGTGACGCACACCTGTAATCTCGACATTCAGGAGGTTGAGGGCAGGAGGATGGTGAGTTGGGAGAGAGCTAGGAGAGAGCTGAGGCCTTGATTTGAGTTCCCCAGCCTCCCGCACTACAGCCAATAAATGTCTGTTGTTTGCAGCTGCCTGGATCGTAGATCTTTGTTCCATTAGGTGCCTGGCATGCTTTTTTTTTTTGTCAGTCGTGGGTCTTGAACTCTGGGCCTGGGCTCTGTCCCTCAGCTCTTCAGCTCAAGGCGAGCACTCTGCCACTTGAGCCACAGCACCACTTTGGGTTTTCTGAGTGGTTTATTGGAGATAAGAGTCTCACAGATTTTCTTGGGTGGGTTGGTTTTGAACCGTGATCCTCAGATCTCAGCCTCCTGAGTAGTTAGTATTACAGGCGTGAGTCACCAGCCTCTGGCACACATTTTTAAACTGAGACAATATTGATAACTTAGCCATTGTGGCTGTTTGGTATGAGAAACCAAGATACAAGCAGCATTCATCACCTGAGCATTAAGTGTCAGTGCTCAGCATCTATTATGGTGGGAAGATTCGCTTACATATGAAGCAAAATGTAATATAAATTCACACGCCTAAAATCTACTGTTTGGTTTGGTGTCCTTGCTGGACTGATGTTTCTGTGAGTTGTATTTTGTGTCACAGAGCGTTGAGTCTGTTTGCATTAAAACACAGGACTCCTCAGGCTTTGTCACTTGAAGCAGAAAGTAAAAAAAACAAAAACAAAACAGAGCTGGGAAGGTGGCTTAGCTGTAGAGTGCTTGCCTAGCATGCATGAAGCCCTGGGTTCGATTTCTCAATACCACATACACAGAAAAAGCCACAAGTTGCACTGTGACTCAAGTGGTAGAGTGCTAGCCTTGAGCAAAAGTAGCTCAGGGACATTGCCCTGGCCCAGAGTTCAAACACAGGACTGGAAAAAAATAAACAAACAAAAAAAAAAATCCCCAGGTTAAGTCAGGCATTGGGTCTCATGCCTGTAATCCTAACTCCTCAGGAGGCTGAGATCTGAGAATCGTGGTTTGAAGCCTGCCCAGGCAGAAAACTCTGTTGAGACTTTTATCATCAATGAGCCACCAAAGAGCTGCAAGTGGAACTGTGAGTCAAGTGGTAGCGCACCGCCCTTGAGGAAAAAAGCTCAGAGACAGAGCCCAGGCCCTGAGTTCAAGTTCCAGGACCGGCACGAGCGCGCGCGCGCCGCGCGCGCGCGCGCGCACACACACACACACACACACACACACACACACACACACACACACACACAGAGTTTCTGGTGATGATTCCATAATTCTTGAAGCATATGAAGCGGTGAGTTGTACACATTAGGTAAAACGTGTGGTGTTTGCATTCGATCTCAATCTGTTTTTTAAGGAAAGTGGAAACCAGACACTTAAAAAGTTAGTCTCCTTGGGCTAACCACAAGAGGGCGCGCGGAGCACAGATTTTCCTCCGCCCTGGAGCACTAAGTCTTTGAGGCTCCAGACTGTGACCACGCCTCCAGGCAAGGCCACGCCCCCAGACCCTGGCCACACCCCCCGGCCTTGACCACATCCCCCTAGACCTCAATTGAGCTGTGTCCAGGGAGCAAATTCATCTCCCAGCTCTGACCGGCGATGCGTGCAGACTTAGAAACTTACAAGCACAAAACTTAAAATTAGACTTAAAAACAAAGAACACCAAACCCGAGGTTGTGTGTTGCTCTTTATTGTTTTTGTGTGTGTGCAGTACTTATGCTTAAACTCAGGGTGTTGTCCCTGAGCTTTTTCACTCAAAGCTGGCTCTTTACCACGTGAGCCGCAGCTCCACTTCTGGCTTTTTGGTGATACACTGGTGATAAGAGTCCCAGGGACTTTTTTTTTTGCCCCAGCTGGCTTCAAAGCAGGATCCTCGGATCTCAGTCTTCTGAGTAGCGAGGATCACATCTGTCTGTGTGTGTGTCATGAATCTGACAGTTTTGGAGGTTACAGACTCTTTTTTTTTTTTTGGTCAGTCGTGGGGCTTGAACTCTGGGCCTGAGCACTCTCCCTCGGCTCTTTAGCTCAAGCAAGTGCTCTACCACTAGAGCCCCAGTGCCACTTCTGGTTTTCTGGTGGTTCATTGGAGATAAGAGTCTCACAGACTTTCCAGGCTGGTTTTGAACTGCAATCCTCAAATCTCAGCCTCCTGAGTAGCTAGGCTTATAGGCGTGAGCTGACACCTCTTGATGTGGGTTTGTCTTGTATCTCCTTGTGATTAGATTCTGGTGTCAGGAATGTTCTAGAAAGGATGCTAGACACTCCCTTTGCTTGGTGACAGAGGGACATGATGTGATCAGTTTGATTAGTTTGGTTATGGGGAAATCATGAAATCCAGGACCTATAGATACAAAGTTCAGTTTCTTTCTGCTCTAGGCCTCAGTTTCCTTTCCTGTCAAACAGAGGCAGCTGGGACTACCTAAGAGTCTGTAATATGCCCCTGGCTGCCTGGCGGGTCTCGTGTTCTTAAAAACATCTATTGGGCTGGGCGCCGGTGGCTCATGCCTTTAATCCTAGCTACTCAGGAGGCTGAGATCTGAGGATCTCAGTTCAAAGCCAGCCTGGGCAGGAAAGTCTGTGAGACTCTTATCTCCAATAAACCACTCAGAAAACTGGAAGTGCAGTTGTGGCTCAAGTGGTAGAGTGCTAGCCTTGAGCTGAAGAGCTGAGGGACAGCGCCCAGGCCCAGAGTTCAAGCCCCATGACTGACAAAAAAAAAAAAAATCTATTGCAACGTTGGCATAACATTTTTTGTATACCTGTACCAGGACTTGAATTCAGGGCTTCACACTCTTGATTTTGTTTATACCTGGTGCTTGACTACTAGAGCTATACTTCCAATCAGGCTTTTCCTGGGTAATTAGAGATAGAGTCTTGTGAAATTTTCTTTCTGGGCTGGCTTTGAACCTTGATACTCTCCAGGTCTCAACTCCTGAGTAGCCACTATTACAAGTGTGAGCCACTGGTGCTCACTGTGAGATACTATTAAAAAAAAAAAAAGCCAATCATAGTGGCTCACACAGGAGATGGGAGGATCATGGGTTCTAGACTAGCTATATTAAAAAAATAAAATACAGGGCTGGGAATGTAGCTTAGTGGTAGAGTGCTTGCTTAGTGTGCATGAAGCCCTGGATTTGATTCCTCAGTACCAGATAAACAGAAAAGGCCAGAAGTGGCGCTGTGGCTCAAGCGGTAGAGCACTAGCCTTGAGCAAAAGGAGCTCAGGGACAGTGCCCAGGTGTGGCCAAAATAAAATAAAATACAAGTTTGTTATTCAACTAACTGGGAGGCAGAAGTAGGAGGATCAAAGTTGGAGGCCAGCTGGAACAAAAAGGAAAAAAA